TCTCTCTCTCTCTCTCTCTCTCTCTCTCTCTCTCTCTCTCTCTCTCTGCCTCTTCCTTGTGGGTTGAATGTGAGCTCTCAGCTACTGCTCCAGCACCATGCCTGCCTGCTGCCATGTTCCCTACCATGATGCTGTGGACCTCTAACCTTCAGAAACCGAGAGTCCCAAGTTAAATGCTTTTTTTTCTTAAGTTGCCATGGCTAAGGTGTCTTACCACGGAAGATAAAGTAACTAAGACAGTTGTACAGACATTTGTTGAAAAAATGCTTATGAGGTTTATAAATCTGAAAGTCTCATGTATGATCCCACGCTTAGTCTAATCTTATCTTTCTACCAGTTTCTATTGAAAAACAACATTTCAAAAAACATCTCCCCATTACATCTTCATCATTTCTAAATTCTAGATTCGTGTCTTGCAAAGCATGTTTCTTTTTCTACTACTGATGTGCACCTCAGGGAAGTCTGTGTAGATATGTCCCATTTTGCTTTGCTTATCCTGCATACTTGCTATAGTCTGATTTCTAGGGTTCTTTTAGCCCAGAAAATTAGCCATTAATTTTTAAATGTTACAAATTTTTTTTATTAAAACAACCAAAACAAGCTGATTGGTGGGGGTAGCTATCAAAAGCCAGAAAAATGGCTTAATGGGTAAATATGTTTGTCACCAAGCCTATCTATGATTCCCAAAACATACATGGTACTTAAAAGAGAAAATTATCTCCTGCAAGTTGTCCTCTAACTTCCAGATATACACAAATGAAAAAAATAAATATAATAAAAATTTAACTGAAAATCTTCTGAAAAGACATCAAGATCCTGGCAGAGTGTGTAAGGAGGCTATTCAATCTAATATGTCCTCTACTCAATCAATATAAAATTGACTTAGATTTTTACTTTGGCTATATTGTCCTATTATGACCAACTTTTCTGTTACTAATCTTTCAAAACATTCTGCTCCACCGCTACCTAACATTTAATCCCATGACACACCTAAAAAGCACCTTAGTAACACAAAATTACTTGTCAGCCTAAGACATTTATTTAGGAAAAAGCATAGCTTTGTGCATATTTTCTGTAGTGAATTGTTTCTTCATTAGCAGGGTTGAGGACTGAAGCCAGGGACTCACTATAATGCAGCACTCTACAATTCAGCTAGCATTCCAGACTCATAGGAAAATCACACAAACAACCGAGATGGAAAAATGGCTCAGCAGTTAAGACTACTTGCTGCATAGTCATGAGGACCAAAATTTGGATCCCAACAGCCATATAACAAACTAGGAACTCTGTACATGCCTGGAAAGTAGCTCAGAGATGGGTAGAAACAGGTGGATTGCTGAGAGTTGGCGGCTTCCAGCCCAGCCCAGAAAATAGTAAACTTCAGCATACAGGTGCACACACACGTGCATGCATCCACGTGCTTGCAAGAGCAAACATATACACAAATCAATCTTTAAAAATAAAAAAGAAATTTAAAACTATGTATTCTTATAATAGGCATATGAGTGTTTTGTCTGCATGTATGTGCACCACATATACGCCTGCAGAGGTCCAAAGGGGGTGTCAGAACCCCTGGAAGTCTATAGACTTACAGGTGGTTGTCAATCAACATGTGGGTGCTAGGAACTGAGCCCAGGGCCTCTGCAAGAGCCATCACTCAAGAGCCCCTACAGATAAATCTTTAAAGACAAAAGTAAAATAAACAATTAGAAATGCAAGTTACTAGATAAAATTTCACTTTAGGGCTAGGTAAGTGCTAACTCTCCTCCTAACCCTAAATCAAGACTGTAGCCAATAGCTTTCATTTGCAATTATTTGCTTTTATTGGTTAAATAAGACAGTTCACTTCAAAGCTGGGAAGGCATCCAGAGTAGAGTGTTTGCCTGACTTGTTTGAGCACTTAGGTTTAGTCCCTAGCTCCATAAAAACAACAAAACAACTTTGTACTTTTCTTTTTTCTTTTCCAAGACAAGGTTTCTCTGTGTAGCCCTGGCTGTCCTTGAACTCTCTCTGTAGACCAGGCTGGCCTCGAACTCACAGAGATCTCCTGCCTCTGCTTCCCAAGTACTAGGAAAAAAGGTGTGCACCACCACCGCCCGGCTGTACTTTTTTTAAAATAATTTATTTTAACTTTATTTTATGTGCACTGGTGTAAAGGTGTCAGCTTCCAGGGAGCTGAAGCTACAGGCAGTTGTGAGCTGCCATGTGGGTGCTGGGAATTGAACCTGGGTCCTCCGGAAGAGCATCCAGTGCTCTTAACCATTGAGCCATCTCTCCACCGGCTGTACTTCTTATTTTTAATTCAATCACAGACTTTAAAAGCTAGGTATGGTGGGACATTCATATATAATCTCATCACTTGAGAAACAGTTTGAAGTCAGTCTGGGCTACAGTATTTCCGAACAAGACAAGCCCTGGGCTACAAAGCCGGATGGTGGGGGTGGATGAAATGGGATAATATTCCATTGAACTACCTTACCTGTTGTCTTGGTAGTTGTCTGGGTGGTGGTGCACAACATCCTGCAAGAAGCGTTCCATCAAACTGTTATCGGCAGTCGTCCGACGCCGGCTCTGTCTGGTCAGGCTTCTGTGTTGGGCACTAAACAAGTGCTAAAGAGAAACAATGGGTATTCTAAATGAGTAACTGCCAATCCCGGTAACACAAAACGGGCTCATGTATGTATTGCAGAAATATGAGTTGATATTCTTTCCATGTAGCACTTCTAACATATGTATCTAAAGCCATAATAATGTGTCTCCCTAAATATAGTTACATCCCTCTAAATACATCCTAAGAACAACATTAAAAAGGATACTTAATACACCATATATAGTATTTAACTGGAAACTGCATAATATTCTTAAATTATAATGTAGACTAAAATGTAATACCATGCAGTTACCTAAAATAATAAAGAAACCATAATAAAAATAAATACTATGTATTAAAAGAAAAACTGCATGTATGGCTCTATCTGAAACTACAGTCTAAAAATATATAGACATGCAAATGGAAGAAAATGTACTAAAATCTTAAACGTAAGCTTTTAAGTGATATAGTTATGGATAATTTTTAATCTTTCTTAAAATTTTTATATTTTCCAGTGAGTATTTTTACAATAGAAAACTGTGAAAAGAGAGAACAGGGTTGGATTATGGTATTAAAAAAGAACAAAGATTAACTCCAAAAATGCTTCATTTCTTTTTCTTCGGTGATTAAGAAGAATAGAATATTCTTGGTAGAATATTAGTGTAAGCACATTAAAGCCTTCAGCTTTACACAGATACCAGTATTAGTGGATTAGCAACATGATAAGAAGGAACCTAACAGGCTAAAACAGACCATATGCCACACACAGGGCTATTCAATCCAGCTCAAAAGCTTACTGCGTTTGCACTCTGCAAGAACAAGCGCCCTCTTTTGACGCAAAGAGAGTGGGGCACAAAAATAAAATAAAAGCAAACAGCAAAGCCAGGATGTGAATGTGAGCCAGACTGCAGTTCATGTGCTTCCCATGGTCACACAGCTAGTATAATAGCATATTAGTTGCATATGTTCCTTATAATACAATAACATGCTTTAGTGATATTTTTTAAATCATATTTTAATATATCATAGTTAAGGTACTATTTTTAAAAAAATAAGTTGCTAATTCCTGACCACTGTAACAACTCTTGGAATTATTTTCTGTCATGCTGACGTGAGACTTTTTCTTCAATGTTACCTTACCCCCAGGAACAATCAAGTATGACAGTCTCAAAATCCTCTTGCTACAAACTCCCACACTGTCCAGTGTCCATCACCAGAGCTAGACTGCTGGTAATAAAGGACAAGTGGACAAAGGAACAAACAAAGTCTCAACTGAAACCCAACCTTGTCCTCTGCTAAGGCAAAAGAGAGAGCAATGTGCACAGAGCAGCACATCTGTGTAAGTTGCAGGCGCCACCACAACAGACATACTCACATGGCTTTACATACATGTCACATAGAACACAAAATACTCACATGTAGCACACTAAACCATCACAAAATAAACACATCCATAACCATCTATCCCCAAATATAAGCACCTAGAAATCTCTCTTCTGCCTAACACCAATCTAACATCTCTTCTCTCTTCCTCAAGTATAACTATACCCTGATTTCTAATACTATGGTTTTGAAAGGTTCTAAAATTGACATAAATGACACGATACAACATGTATTCATTTGCATTGAGCTCCTCTCAGTCAACAATGCATTTATAATACCATTCAACATTAGCTGTGTTCTGCTCATCTTCAGGTGCACATCTGTATTCTCTTGTATGAATGTATCATAGCTTGTGCATTCTGCTCTTGATGGATTTTGGACATTACAAACAATGCTACAAAGAACCTCATTGCTTGTCTTGTGTGGTAGAATTTTTGTGTCATACAATACATGTATGCTCAGCTTCAGTACCTACTCTTCCAATGTGACTGGAACAATTTATACCTCAACCAACAGTATATCCTTATCTTTGCATTCATCTACTTCATCGACTCTTAGTATTCTGTTTTTCACATTTTAGCAACTGTGGAAGGTGTTCAATGCCATATATTGTGGCTTTAATCCACAATCTGATGATAGCTTTTCATTTTTACTGGCAATCCAGATTGTCTCTAATTATGTGTCCATTCAAATTTCTTCCTGATGTTCTTTTTTTTTTAAGACAGGGTCTTCATTATGAAGTCCAGACTAGCCTTGAATTCAATATCATCTCCAGAATATTGGGCTACAAGCAAATGCCAGCATACTAGCTCTTTTTCCTGTTTTTCAAACAGATGTCTTCTTCTTTATTAACATGTAGAATTTTTTTAAAGATTTATTTATTTATTATGTATACAGTATTTTCAGTACTCTGCCTGCAGGCCAGAAGAGGGCACCAGATCTCATTACAGATGGTTGTGAGCCACCATGTGGGTGCTGGGAATTGAACTCAGGACCTTTGGAAGATCAGACAGTGCTGTTAACCACTGAGCCATCTCTCCAGCCCTAACATGTAGAATTTACATGTTCTGGGTACAATCTCTTCATTCAAGTATCATCTTTCTTCCTGTAGCTGGTCTGGTCTTCTCACTTCCTCTCTGTAGCTGGTCTGGT